ATTCCTTGATTTAGGCTTGTTTACATTAATGTGAAAAATAACTGTAATGGAAACAATTGATTCAACTCAATTAAAACCTTGAATTTTGTTATGAATTTGTTATATTATTAAGGTTCACTTATGACCTAAATCAAGTGCTTACAATAAGAAAATTTTGATTTTCTTCATATTTTACATTGGAAATAGACAATGACTATACATAGAAGTTAATCCAATATAATTTAGCATAAACTATAAAAACTTTGAGTACTGATTTAATTAACATTTTCAGACCATTTCAAGAACGTGTTTCTTGTGAAAATAACTATTGAACTTTGATTATGGTGGGCAATGAATGCATTTGCTGTATTGTTTATATTATTGTTGTATGTTTTAATTCATCTCATTTTCAATATAAAAAAAGAGAAAAGTGATTTACAGGATCTTTTAGGGCTGTTTCATAGTCTTTTCATCAGAAAAATTGTCAGAAAGCATGCTGTTAATTGACTTTGATTATATATATTTGTAAATCACTACTATTCAACAATGAAGACACATCGATAAAGAAAGAAGGGATCTTTGACACTACAATGGCAAGCTTTGACAGGGCAAAACCGGGAAAATCATAGGTATATATTTACTACACAAACTAAGCAAAATAATAGATAGAAATGATACAGGACTCTACAGGGATGACAGTCTCATAATCTTAAGAAATTATAACAAACAAAACACAGACAAAACTAGAAAAGCAATAATAAAGATTTTCAAAACTAATGAATTTGACATAGACATAAAAACTAACCTAAATAGATTTTCTCAATGTTAATTTCAACCTAAGGTACATAAAAACCAGACAGAAAACCCAATGATAAATCACTGTATATACAGACATCTTCCAATTACCTGCCATCTATAATCAAACAGATGCCAAAATCAATTAACTACAGGCTTTCTGACAATTCTTCTAATGAAACTATATTTAACGAAGCTAAGAAAGACTACGAAACAGCCCTAAAAGATAGTGGATTCCCAGCAACACTCACCACAGAGCACAAAAAAGACAACATGAAGAGAAACCTCATATGGTTTAACCCACTGTACAGCAAAAACGTAAAAAAAAATGTGGGAAAAATATTCTTCAAACACTTACACAAACACTTCCTGGAATCAAGTACTCTCCACAAAATATTCAACAAAAACAGTAAAAATCAGCAACAGTTGCACCAAGAACATGGCACAAATAATAAAAAAGCACAACAGGAAAACTATCAACAAACCACTTGTACAAATTAAACCCACGTATAACTGTAGAATAAAGAATGAATGTCCCTTAAATGGTAATTGCTTATTAAAACAATGTAACATACCAAACCACAGTAAAATCACCAGATAACAAAGAAAAAATATACATAGGAATAACTGAAGGACCCTGGAAACAAAGAAACTATGCACACAAAACATCTTTCACAAATAGCAAATATGTGAACAGCACAAAGCTTTCTATGTATATCTGGGAAATTAAAAACAAAATGCAAATCACACCAAGAATATCATGGAAAATAAGGAAAAGAACATCAGCCTATAATAATCAATCCAAAAACTGCAAATTTGCTCAGAGGAATAATTATTATTATTACCTTCCAAGATCAAAGTAAACAACTAAATAAACAATCAGAACTCATCTCAAAATGCAGACATGAAAACAAATTTTTACTACATTACTTAAAAACCAAAAACTGAAAAGAATAAATAAAAATAGATAAAATAAAAATAAAAGTAAAATAATTTAATGCAAGCAAACAATAAACAAATTAACAAACCACTCCCACCATAATAACTGTTAGAATAGACTGAAAAGAATAAATAAAAATAAAAAATAAATAAGAGAAAACAAATAAAAATAATCAGTTCAAATAAATAAATAAATTAAGTAAATAATAAAAAATTAACAAACCACTCCCATCAACATAACTGTTATAATAGACTACAACAATCAAATCAAAAATTGGATGAAAAAATAGCTATAATTATCTTTCCAGACCATAACAACTTTCTATATAAACGATTTGAACATATCTCAAGTTTTTACTATGTTACTTAAAAATGAAAACCAAAAAGAATAAATAAAAATACATAAAATATATAAGAAAAAACAAGTAAAATAAATTAGTCCAAATAAATAAATAATGAACACTAAACAAATTAGCAAACCACTCCCACCAAAGTAACCATTAGAATAGATTGAAATGAATAAATGAAAATAAAAGTAAATAAGCAAAAACAAGTAAAAATAATCAATCCAAATAAATAAAGTAAATAATAAACAAATTAACAAACCACTCCCGCCAAAATAGCCATTAGAATAGACTACAACAATCAATCCAAAAAGTGGACAAAAAAATAGCTTTAATTACCTTCCCAGACCAAAACAAACTACTAAATAAATGATTAGAACTCATCTCAAAAAAATTTTTACTACGTTACTAAAACATTGAAAACTGAAAAGAATACATAAAAATATATAAAATAAAAATAAATAAAAAACAAGATAAATGAATCCAAATAAATAAACAAACCACTCCCACCAAAATAACCATTAGAATGAACTACCTATGATGCACTACTGACCTGTATATATAACTAGTTGAGAAAAAAACCAACACATGTGGCCTGATGATTGTGTCTAGCATGAAACAGTCTGTTGCCTCTGAGTGTTGACTTCAATGTTCACTTTTATATTTTTATATATCTTGGATTTTACTGCTGTCCATAACTAAAAGTTTCATGTGGAGGTAAAGGTGTTTACTGTCGTACCTTTATATATATTATTTCATATTCTTTGCATTGAGCACTGTGTTTGTACTATCTACCAAATTTTCCTCTCTCTATATATATATATATGTGTGTGTGTGTGTGTGTGTGTGTGTGTGTGTGTGTGTGTGTGTGTGTTTATATATTTATTTTAATAGCTGTATTACCTATATACTTATGGGCATATTTATAAGTTATCAAGTGTTACTTGAAAAGGTGTTAAGAGTTTTAGAATTCAACTGAAAATGTTTAAAATTGTTTTTATCTGTTAAAAATGAAAAGTTGTTTATTTTATTACTTTGTAAATTTTATTGAGTTTGCAATAAGGCCACAAATGTGGGGCACATTAAGAATAGAATTCCTTAGAATATTAAGAATCTGGAGGAGTAGATTATCAACCACCATGCCATGAAAAGTGACTCACTTGTTTATAGTGATTTTCCAAGCATAGCTCAGATGTGGCACAAGGCCAAAAGTATGTGATACCCAGTGAGGATCAAATTTACTATTTAGCCATAATTGTTCTAGCGAGACAAGCTTGCTAACCATTACACTGCCTCAAGGTGCCCCACTTGCTTGTTTTATATTTGTCTGTATATTTTCTTTAAGACATATAAGTGGAAATGACGAGACAAAGTGGAAAAGCTTATAATTGATGCGTTTTGCCAAAGCGTGTTGCATTTGGCTTTTTCAGGTCAGAATAAAAGTCAAAATTGTGTATAAGGAAAATGTGTTGCAATTTTTGAGGATAAGAGCAGCAGTAAATTAAATTACCTTATCAGATCTGATGACCAGAAACCAGAAAGTGTTTGTTGTTTTATATATAAAAATGATTCATTGAAACTAGATTTGATTATGCGTTTTGCCTTTCCAGGCTTCATCAAATCCAAAAGCAAAAGAAAGAAATATGTGTATGTGTATTTATTTGTGTGTATGCTTAAATAATGAATCATTTGTACGTTTTCCTCTAAGCTAGTGTTTCTTGTGATGAAAGAAAAGAATGAAAATGAGTGACTTTTAAAAAAGCCATTAATATTTATTCTGTAGCTTTTCTTTAAAATTTTTAGTTCATATTAAAAGTTATTAATATATTTTTCCCCAGCATTTCTGTATTGAATTAAATGTAAATCCTTTTCTCATTTTCAGAATGGCTCAAAAGCAAGAGATTCATATCACCTTTTTTGGAATAAATTTAAGGTAAATCCTCATTCAATCTATCAGAATGGGTTGAAAGTAAAAGGTTTATATGTTTTTAGGTCTGTCTATGTGTTTTCTGAGTTGACAATATGTTTAAAGTAGGATATAGAATCCCGACAAAGTTTTGAAGAAATTTGACAAATGGAAAAACGTTTCATTGAAACTAGATCTAATTATGCATTTCACCTTACTAGGCTTCATCAGATCCAAAAATGAAAGAAAGAAATATGTGTGTGTGTATTTGTATGTATGCTTAAATAATGAATCATTAGTACTTTTTTCCAAAACTGGAAATATATATATATATATATATATATATATATATCTTGATATAATAATAATACAACTTTGTAATATTATATTGCAGTGTCAGTCCTAAATGAAAAATTAATTTCTATTTTAATTTATTTAACTTTTAACATTTTTTTCCATCACATCTATAATCTACCTCTTGCATTGTGGTTAAAATAAAAAGATGGATTGGACAGCTGAATCTTTTTATTGATTTGGTAAATTTCCATTAGGTTTCTCTCTTGGTTTTAGAATTACAGCTAAGCATTGGATCGGAGCCATAGATATTTAAAAGAAAAAGACCAACAATTTTGATATGTAGTGATACATATTTTTATTAAATGGTGAACTACTAGAACATAAAATGTACCCTGCTCTCTTTCAGACATATGAAGTAGACTATCATTGTGATTCTATGATTAGATAATAAAATAAAGACATTTCTTGTTGATTTAACTCTGTTTTGTACTTTTTTGCTGTGGAAGTGACAATCTGTCTTTTATCCTCCATAACAAGTGGATACAGTAGTAATAGTTTATACCAATGTACTGACCAAAATTCTGTTATAAAGATAGATTTTCAGAAAGGAATCAGTTTCTGTTAAATAAAACAAAGGAAAATATTCTGATGAAAAGTTGTATAATATAACAGGTACAATAATAATTTTGAACATCTTAATTGCCCATGTTTTATATTATTATGAACTTAGATTAATAGGGATGAATATCTACTATCTAAACTCTATCTATGTATCTATCTATGTTTCTCTCTTTCTCTATCCATCTATCTCAGTTTGTTCATATCTATCTGTCTATCTAAGTCTGTTCATTATCTATCTATCTATCTATCTATCTATCTATCTATCTCAGCCTGTTCAATCTATTTCAGTCTGTTCATATCTATGTATCTCAGTCAATTCATATCTATCTCATTCTGCTCATATCTATCTATCTATCTATCTATCTCTCTTTCTCTCTGTCTTTATCTATCTCATTCTTTTCATATCTATTGATCTATGTTCCTCTCTTTCTCTATCCATCTATCTATATCTCTCTCTTTATCTATCTATCTCAGTCTGTTCATATCTATCTATCACAGCCGATTCAATCTATCTCAGTCTATTCATATCTATGTATCTTGGTCTGTTCATATCTATCTATAGCATTTTGCTCATATCTATCTATGTCTCTTTCTTCCTTTCTGTCTTCATCTATCTATCTCAATATGTTAATATCTATCTATCTATGTCTCTCTATTTCTCTGTCTTTATCTATCTCATTTGTTTCATATCTATCTCTCTATGTCTCTCTCTCTCTTTATCTATCTTATTCTTTTCATATTTATGTGTCTCTCTTTCTCTTTGTGTTTATCTATCTATCTATCTATCTAATTTTTTCCATATCTGTCTCTCTTTCTCTCTGTCTTTATCTATCTATCTATTTATATATCTATCTGATTCTTTCCATATCTATCTATGTGTTTCTCTTTCTCTCTGTCTTTATTTATCCATCTATCTATCTATCTATCCTCAGACAAACAACCTTCTTATATGTCTGATGATCACAAAAGCATGAAACTTAAGGTTACAAACTCACATCCATACAACTATAAATAATATATATATAAATAATATAGATAGATAGATAGATAGATAGATAGATAGATAGATAGATAGATAGATATTAGGGAAAGCTATGACAAAGTAGGAAAAGCTTTTGTGTAATGTGTTTCATCCTTTAGGACTTCATTGGACTAAAGTGATGTTGATGAGATGACATATGCACACAAAGGAGAAGGTATGCAGAAAATTTTAAATTTAAATTAAAATCTTTTTTTTAAAATATGTTTTGGATATAGATAATTTTCCCCTATATGTATATTTCCTACTAGTCATTTATTATTTTGTGGATCATATAAATGACACATTGAAAAAAATTCCTGTTATACAGTTTGTCTTTCAAAAGGTCTTCTTCCAACTAAATGTTTTTATTGGTGTAATCATATACAGGGTGGTCTGAAAGTCTTGTTGCCCTCTACAAAAAAGTAATTTGAACAATAGAAAAACAAGTAATACAGTAATACAAAGCACATGTACTGGATTCAGTTTACTCACATTCATTGATTCATTGATGCTCTTATGCATTAAGAAGGTCTGTATGAACACCATCCTTTTCATAGCACAAAATAATGCGGCACCATTTTCCATGTGATATTTTACGAAGCTGTGTTTTTGTTGATTGTTGCAAAGGCTCTCAAAACAGCATCCTTCAACTGATGGATATTTTGGTAGAGTTCATGTGAAACTCTCTCCTTGATAATACCCCACTGATATAGGAGTGACAAGACTTTTTTAACCACCCTGTATAGAGGGAGGGAATGAAATACAACTAATCTATCTATAAAAGGCAGGATGTGTGTGTGTGTGTAATGAATGCATGGCTGCAATTTTTGATGAATTTCCACCAAAATTTACATGCACATGCTCCAAGTTAGCGGGAAGGCCAAGACTGACTTTGCATTTCCCAACTCCCATCAATAGTGGAAATAATCGATTTTTTCATGTTTCTACGGCAGTTTTCATGTAGTTTGTGGCCATTTTCTACTGGCCAGAGTGAGAGCCAATAGCTGGCTGCCACGAATAAGCAGGAAGATTCTATTGGCCAGTGTGAGAGCCAACAACTGACTGACATGAATGTTAACTAGCATGCAAAAAAATCGATAGCTGCATTCATCACAAGTGGAAAAAATTTAAAACTGCATGGCACTTTACTCCAATTGGCTCATTCGCTTGCTTAAACTCAACGTTGATTCTGATTTCACAGAACTGGGTTGGGTGTGAAAAAGTATTTGTTGTTAACATTGTTGTTAACATTCGTTTTTTCAAATTATAAGTCCTTTTTTAAAGCTGATTGTTTCATGTTCATTTTGTTTAGTTCTTTTTTCGTAACAGATTTAATGTTTAGTATAGAGCTTAGAAAAAATTTGAAGTGTGAGATAGGCAAGAAGTAAGGCATGTAGCAACATCATCATGGCAAAGGGTACTCCTTTAAAGGAAAGGAGGGGCAAAAATATTTTAAGTGATAGCAATTGCTGTATGAATCGTACGATTTTTGAATCAAGCACGGGCAACACCGGGCCATGCTGCTAGTCCCAGCTATAATTCTATATTGAGAAATGATGAAGATACAGGGATTCTTAACTTTAGATTTAAATTTAAATGTTTATTATTCAATATATCTTGATACACAATCTAGCCAAACTCATTCACCTTTTTCATCCTCTTTTGCGTTTTGTTTAGTATCTAGGGATATTATTATTAATAAATAAAAATATAAAATAATATCATACATAAAATAAAACAAATAGCTATAAAACTTTTTTTGAAAATAAAATAAATAAAACGAAAATAATAAAAGTTCTCCCAACATCAGTTGAAAATTTTCCTGCCTGAGAAACGGATTCTTTGTGCCTAAAAACATCCAACTCATTCTCTTCATTACCAACCTTCAAAGACTCAAGACGTTATATTCTGTTAGATCTTTTTCTGATTCATTCTGCATGCTGGCTGAATGTGAATGCCATGGAAGCAGACAACAAAATAAAAAAGTCATTCATAGAACAGGCCTAGGATCCATGCCAATCCAACATTACTTTGACTACCAACGAATTGACCCACTACCATGACCTTGATTGACCAACACGTGCAAACGACCATATTCCATGACCTCAGTCAAACCAACACAAGAAATAGGTCAACTCTTAGCCCTACCATCCTCAGGATCAGCAACAGAAATTGATATTTCACCAATTTTCTGATAACTTTGTAAGACACTCTATATATTAAACAAATACACATTGTTCAAAAACCTAATCCTTGTTATTCCTTTCCTTTCATAACCAAATGCTATCTATTTCTTCTCCTTAGCATTTTGCTTCTCATAAGACAAAGTAACTTTCTTCCTCTATTACACGCAACCTTTCAACACATATAACTAAAATGCACACCCACCAGTACACAAAATAAATAAAATTATATGATTTTAATTTACAATTTAACATGATTTTAGTGTTATTTCTTTGCATGTTTTTTATTCCTGTGAACACACGGCTATCACTGCTGGTATTATGTGAGTGACCCCACAAATGCACTAATTTCAAAGTCTTCTATGGGAAATTTCTGTCCAGGATCAGACAACATATCTTCTTTTCTAACAAAACTAGTGCTATGACAATGTGGGATATTTCAAAGCAACAATGACAATATAGTGATAAAAACAGTACTCAGACCCCAAATTACTTAGATGATATTGATTGTAACTTTGTGACACTATTTGTTACTGGTAATCATAAAAAAGTTTTTTTGTTTTTAATAGAAGGAATGATGTACTGACAGACCCCTGATAAAAAAAATAAGAAGGGTTAATGAATAATTCCTGTGGAAAAAATTGAATATTTTAATTCTCATGTAGACAGCCATCTGAATTGTGTGTCAGGGTTTTGAACAATGAAACACATAGGGTTGACATGGATTTGAAACTGCAACAGGTCAAATGGTAACAATGATTGACACTTGGTTGATCACACACACAGCTAAAAATATGGGCTATGAATGGGAAATTTTTCTGCGTAAACAACAAACTTAGAATTAATCTTTACTGGTTAGAGGGTGGCTGAGGTAGAAGGCACAGATGAGTCCCCAAGGAAGGTGGAGGAGCCATCCATGCCCACTGAGGAGGATTAGTGGGAGATGATAAGAGAAAGTGGAAGTTATAGGGCGAAGTAATTCCTGTAATCATCACCTATGGAAGAGGGGAATTACCCCAAATTATGCAGGACCCAGACAATGGAGATGACAAGCAGGGGGAAACACCAAATTCTTTAACTGCATTGTGCCACATGCCGATTTAGGCAAACATCAATAAATATGAATGCCTCAAAGCAAGTGAGAGAGAGAGAGTTCCAGCCACTGGATGCAATAATTATCTGCCAACAAGAACTTCCAACATCAGCTGTGTGTCAAGCTTTACCAAATCAGTAAAACAACCTTTACCAAATCAGCAAAGTGTCACATTCGAGTTAGAAGCGGGCTGTGTCAAGCTTTACCAAATCAGTAAAACAAACTTTACCAAATCAACAAAGTGTCACATTCAAGTTAGAAGCGGGCTGGGTCGATAATTGTTTGCATGCAAACTCTCAGGTTTAATAACATTTAACCAATTACTGTATGAAGGACTTGATATAAAAACAGTATTTTTTAAAAATTTATTTGAGTGTTATTTTCTTTCTTTGCATCTTCGCTCTGCTTGGACCAGCCTAATATGAATATACCTGATGATGATTTGATCTTGGCCACCTTATGCTCAAAGCAAATCACAACATGGAATAAAGCAGGTCCTGGATCGAAGCAATCAATTCATCGATCAGCTGCGGTAGTGGGCATTTTGGATGACTGGGGAGGGTGTAGAGTGACACTTGAATAGTACATATGTCCCTTCCCAGGTACAATGAAGCAATTATTCAAGCTAAGGAATGCCACATGATTGATTGATTTTTTAGAGCTTATCAACCTTTTGCAGGTTATTTAAAGCCAAAAACTATTTTTAGATTATATATAATAGATTATATGTAATCATTTTTTGGAGATAATAATGATTTACTAATACAAATCCTATTAATTAACCAATAGCTAGGAGGGAGTACAGGTGGATTCATACCTTTCCCAAGGGTATTTGTGTATAAGTGAATATAATGAACATGACTGGAATTGGAAATCAGCTCTCTAATTTCCAATTCCAGCTCTCTGACTTCCAATTCCAAGCCATTATCCACTGCACGACCTACACATCCAAGCTTAAAACACCTGATATTCCTAAACAGTCACTCATCTAGGCTCAATGTTGCTTAAATCTGAAGAACTGGTGCTTGAACATGATATGACCAGAAGCCAAATATCACATGAAATATTAATAATACACAATAACTTTTTTAAAGAAATATTATGTAATAAATTTTCATTTGAGATATTTTTCTGTTTTAAAACACTGTATCTGGTTTGGTTTATGTAAGAGGGCTGAAAACTTTTACACCATCATTTTGGAGGTTGTCTTGCATCTTCCTTTCACATTCAATGCCTCTATTTAAAAATATGACAATTAAATATATAAATGACTCTAATAGAGCCAATGTTTCTTCTGTAAGAAATGCAATGCAAATCACTCACTTATAAGCTGGTAATTATTTGACATTTATTTTATAAAAGTTTAAAATTTGCATAGTACTGTATATCTCTGTAATATCTGTATATATACAAAGGTAAAATCTTTTTTGGTTCAACTCCAGAGAAATAAGAAGGAAAAGTTTTTAACCTAGTTTAACACATTAAAAATTACCATTTTAGTAATGAAATGAAGTTCTCACCAGCTATATGTATCAACATGAACCTGTCTATTCCACAAAATGGCAATTCTTGGGAAGAAGCTGTCCAAATGGAACTTACTTCTTATAAATGGAATATGAAGGGAATGAGTAGGATTCATCCTTGTGTACATGACATGGTGGGTCCCAATTGCAAAGG